GAATTCTAAATAAAAAAAAAATGTATGGCATTAGATATTAATTGAGAAGTGGATCCTACCTTTTGCATACATTACCTACTTCTCCACTTCTCAGAAATTTTTTTTTTTTTTTTAATTTTATTTAGTTTCTTGTTTTACTTATTTCAAGGTTGCTAAAAGCAGTCCTTAACCTCGTTTATAAGTCACTTCTTATTTATAGGATTTAATTATTTCCAAATGAAGAAATAAAGAGAAATATTTTTGTAATTAGCCAAATACCAACAACATTTAACATTTTAAGTTAGTTTTATTTCTAATTCTGATGAGGCTATATCTATAGGTACCATGTTGAGTCTGGCTAATAATTCCTAATCAGCAGGAGTATTACCTGATTTTTGAACATATATGCTTAGAGGTCTGTCTATATTTCTGAGTTGAGGTATTATGTACATTATTTACATTATTTGGACTATTGTCCTCATCTTTGTCGTCATATTTATCACAACGTTTGACCATTGTAACTGAACCTTCTTCAGGTGGTTGGAATGGTTGGAACTGAACTATTACGCTCACTGAAATAAAGGGTGGCAGTGGAACTAGAACAGTGAAGAAGGCGGTGAGTGAAATAAAAGGGTTCAGTGGGATAAATATATACATAAAGATGAGGACAATAGAGAATAATAATGTAAATAATATATATATTTTAAATTTACAATTTAGAAAAATCATTTTTTGTAATATAGTGTGGAGAAATGTTCATGATGAAAGCGAAAAAGAAATGAAATGATTAATAATTTTTGCATAAAATAATATGTTTATTCTGTGATTAAAAAAGAATGATTATATAAAACCATTTTTTATTTACAAAATAAAGCATTGAAATGAAAGGGTTGAAAATTTGTTTTTGTAAAAATATTGAACTTGTACACAAAGAAAGAGTAATGAAAAAAAAAGAAGACAATGTGTAAATCCAAAATGTTTATATTCCAGAAATTATTTACAAAAACCTTTTTTTTTTTTTTTATTCCAGTTTCTTCTTAGGTGACATTTTTCTTATGATGGCAAATATACGAAACACAGGAAGATATCTTAATGATAGCTTTCACTTACTGGGCCTGTTACTCAGACTGCCTACTTGTTGATAAGGTGTCCTTTTATTTACATTTTTATTGATTGATCTGTTTTTTTTTTACAGCTTATCAATCTTTTGTGGATTATTTAAAATGAAATCATATTTTGGATTGGAAGAGTAATTCTTTTTTATGAGTGAATATTGCATTAACAATTTAAAAAAAAAATAACAATGATTTTTCCAGATACAAGCCATACTATTTAACCCATAGCTAGAAGGAGGAGATAGATTCATATTTTTCTCAAGGATATTTGTGTGTAAGCAAATGTGACAATTATTAATACCTGGCACATGGATGTAGTAGACAAAATGTGTGAAAATAGTTAACAGAAAAATGTCTGGCTCTGTTTGAATGTGTGTTATTTTTAATAACTTAATAACTATACATGCATAAAAGTTGACATGTTTTTTAGAAGCTGTGTAAATTTTATCTTACTTTGTAAATTAAAAGTTCATTAAATTTTATTTTAAGTAGGTACCCACTCAGAAGGTATATTATACCATTAATAATTTTCAATAAAAAGATTTTTATTTTGTCTGAAATTGATTAATTAACATGTTCTAATAATGTGTCTGCCATAATGTATTTGTTTTACAAAATATTAATTTATATAGATTTTAAAAAATTCACAAATACTACAGCATTGTTATTTTACACAAAAATTGATCTTTATATTACCTGTTTTCTCTCAATGATAGGATTTTTTAAGCTTTTATTACAGATATTACACATAAAATTAGATTATCATTATTATTAAAGTGAACACAATTGCTGACACATACTACAATTAACATAAAAATTGTTTTTTTCAAGTGCCTTTAGTTTTAATAGTATTGTGCTCATAGAAATATTGCTATAATAACCTTATTGTACTGTTAACACACCCACAAACATTAATTGGTTTATAATTGATTTTTAACCTTTTATATCTTCATTGTCATCCATAAATTTAACATTACTGGAAAGTAGAATAAATAATGTTTACAATAATATTTTTTATTAAATAGGATTAATTGTTTAGAGGCTATGGTAATAATTTAAAATTCATTGTTTATAATTATTTTGTATTATATGTAAATGGCAATATAAAAATAAGAACTATTTAATTTGTACCTCTTTATACTGTGAGCATATCTATCATATTATTTCTAAAGAGGAGAAAAGATCCATTTTTTTAAATAATACTTTTGATGAAAATTTGTAACAATGTATGTTGGCATTTAAAAAAATGTGTGATTCACAGTGAATTAATTTTTTAAATATTGCTATTCTAATGATGCTAACATTTTTATGAGAGTCCTGTCAATTATAAAATTGAGAACAGTTCATAGGCTGATTTAACGAATTTTAACAAAGACATTTGAATATCATAAGTACAATCAAATAAAGATAGATAATTGAAATATAAATTTAAAATAAATTGAAACTTAAAATATTGGATGAAGTCATGTGATTTAGAACTCTTCAGTTATTTTATTTTTATCCTCATTTTTTTCTATGTATCAAGTAAGGTGGTAAGTGAACTGAAATTTAAAAAGGAGCATAAAATATTTGAATTGGAAAATTAAAAACAAAAACAATAAATCATTAAATAAAAGGACACTATAAAAACAGATATGCATTTTTTTTTTTAATTAAAACCTGTTCATTCGATTTTCTTTAAAAATAAGATGAAAAAAACATTTGAATTTTACACTAAAATAGGGACATTGGCGTATGTTAGTGGCTACTTTCATTATTTTTTTCAACTATTGCCATAATTTTATTTTAAATTTAATTTTTTTAATTTAAATTGCGTTTGGCGTCAGAAACAATTTTTTCATGCTAAAAAAATACTGACTTATCGCCTAGTACACATTTTTACAAAAACATAAAAAGTAAAATAAAAAAATAAAATTCAACTTTGTGATTAAAATTTGTTAACTTTACCTAGCCTCATATACTGAGCAAACATTTTTTTTGAGCAAAAATAAAAAACTGAACATTTTGTGATTAATTATAAATTGTAAAATGATTCTAAATGATTAAAATAAAAAAAAATTGGACGGCCCCGCCTTTGGGTTTGAAAGTCTTGCAATACAAATAAACAAGAGTTCAAAATGCAATATAATTTTTATTTTTAATTTATCACGCACCACAATCTACATTGGTTTTTCCTCGAAAAGTTCTTAAAATGTGAGGCAAACAATCTAAGGGAGATAATTCAGTATTTGGTATGCAAAAACTGTTTCGGACGTTAAAACTTAGTACAAGATATCCAATTTTTTGCTGACTTAAAAAAATTAGTTTAATTAGATTTTATTTTTATACAATAAAAGATAAATTTTTCAAATATTTACTTTCCCTTATTTCTTTGAAAATGTGCTACTTTAAAAATATTTCGATCATTTATAATTATTTAATTCATTTAATAATGGCTAATAATGCCCTTACAAAAAGTTTGTACGAGGGGGTGCTAAAAAGTTCTTAGCTATTTAGTTAGATTTTGCAAAGTGGATTGAACCGAGGACTTTTCCGCATCCCCGTCGGGAATACAGTTACACACACATACGAAATGAAGAGTAAAAAAAGCGTAGTGGAGGAAAACTACGTAACAATATTCCTTCCGAAGATGAGTGTTTTTAATAGTGAAATTTTATCAGCAAGTGAACGGCGGCTATTATTCGCTGTAAAAATTTGCTTGAATGAGGAAAACTTTAAGTTTCAAGTAGGTACTTAATAAGTACTACTTATTATTTAATGATCAAGTATTGCTTAAAATTCGCAGCGCATGAGAAAGCTACTGGAATCAGACCTTAAAAAAAAAACTATGAATGAAATAAATAAACATTTTTAAGTTAAAAATCAAAATGTTGAATTTTAAAAAAAAATAGCTTTATTCAATTATTGGATCACGCTTACATTTAAACTCGGTCAGTTCAATGCCATAAGTGATACACGTTTGGTTTGGGCGATCATATATCTTTCAATACATGACTGACAAGGCAGATATTTTCCGCGGTAGACTTCTTTCTTTATGATGTGGTAGACTGGTTGCCAACCAAGGCTAAAGAAACCAGTCTGTACTGCTATTCCACCCATAGCTTGGGGGAAGGAGAAGAAATGGATTCATACCTTTCCCAAGGATATTTGTGCGTAAGTGAATCTAGCGCACTCAACTGGAGGAAATATAAACAAAATGAAAAACTGAATATGGTTATTTTAAAAATTGAACTTATTTTTTAATTGCAGCAGAATTAAAAAAAATTGTTATAGTCGAAGTCTGAAAAAAGTTAAAGTAGATTAATTAAATATTTTAATAAAACTTAATTGAAAAATAAATATGGTAATTTTTTCTTGTTTATTTGTTGAACATTCAGTCAATAATAAATGCTATTTTTTTTTCAATATTTCTTTTTGAAATGATACAGTTCGTCGGTTTTGAAAACGAAAACTTCAATCAATATTGTATTTCTTAGCAATTTCACAATATCACTAAAAAGGTTTAATAATGCATATTTTGATTTTTAATTGTTTATTCTAATTTTTAAAAACAGAAAAGTAAGTGGATATTTTTATTTTTTCAATGATATCCAATTCGTAGCTGATGGAATCTGTTGGCATATGAATTTTATGAGGTGATTAATAGTTAAACTTCCATTTTTTTTTTTAAAATAATTTAGTTCGAAAAAAGTTTCGATATAAAAAACATTTTTTTACTTTAAAATTAAAAAGTGTAAATTGTTACTTGAAAAAAAAAAAAAAAAATTCGCCCGCGTGTGTACAATCGATCGCTAAAAAAAATATGATATTTCGAGTTAATTGAATTAAAGAAAATACGATTTCACCGTTATAAAAGCAATCAAATGCCAATGAGAATTTTTTCCTGTTATTATCAAATCAATAAACACAACAAAAGATGATTCAATGATTTTTATCATTTATCAAGCAAATGTTAGTAGAAGTAAGTAGTAGTAATTTTTCTTTTAGTCATGACAAAAATAATCGATATATTGAACTTACCATAGCATTTGAAGTATTCAAAATACCTACTACCAATAAAATATACCATCGTCGCTTATAAACTTTATATTCCTGACACTGCTCTGTTGAGACATTGTTAGATGAATTATTAGACGGCGTTACCTCCTCTGTGGTCACGCTTTCATCGTCCGCCATTTTTTCTAGTCACATGATCATCCGGCTGTTGTTGTTGTTGTTGTTGATGTCAGCTGTTCAACCTGGATTGAGAGATATCTTTTTTTGCAGCACAAGACCAAATTCGTCTGATCTTCAGCATCAAAAATCATAAAATCCATTATTGGATTAAGCTTGCAGGAAAAATGGATGAAAATAGATACTTTCTATTTTTTAAAAATATTGTTAATGTATATCTGTCATTAATGTTAAACTAAAGGAATTGTTATTTTTTTGTTTTGCAATTAACAATTATTGAATGTTTATTTATAATTGGCCTGTGTAATTTGTTAATTTGCTGTATATGACTTAATCGAAATAAAGCAAACAAACATATGAAATAACATGAGCTTTACCGATATTTCCCGAAAATATTATGTCTGTTACTGTTATAGTGGCGTGGGCTTAGGGGTTTTAAAATGAACAGTTGATATACCCACGCAAAGAAGATTAATGTAATAAATGATGCTAACGACTAGGAAACACGCAAGTAATTTTAACAAAACAAGATAAGGCATTTATTCACGAATTTACACACTTGAAGTAGTGTCAGTAGCTCGTTCCAGGAAAATAAATCAGAATTCTTAAAGTTCGTAGTTTAAACGTAATTTCATGAAGAGGAAATGTTCATACAACAGATTAAATGATCTGACACAAAAGAATATTAAAAAATATTTAAAACAATGGTAAGAGAGGTTGTTTCTCACTAAAGGGATATATGATTTGCATACGTTCAAGAGTAGACGCAGAGAGATAATTTGAAATATTTATCTTTTTTGGATTGTTGAGAGAAAATTGTTTGAAGTGCTACGTTCTGGTTAGACGCCGATAATATAATTAACGTGTAATTTTACAATGGCGAGTACTTCAACTCTAGTCACGAGGAACTGAAACGAAACCTTTCAGATGACTTTAGACACTCTTCTCATAAATTTAATTTTTCTCCTCATTTTATTTAGAAAAGGAATTTTGTGTAAGCTCGCTACTTTCTTTCCTTCTTCTCCTTGGCTCACCGGATAATTTCAGGGAAGGCAAGGTTTTCATTGATTAAAAATAATTTTTCACGTAGGCTCGCGAATTTATTTCCTTCTTCTCGGCTCACCAGTTAATTCCTGTGAAAAACAAAATAGGGTCGCAAATTCTTTCCTTATTCTTCCTCAGTCCTCTAAATTTGAAAGGAGCGGTAAAGAGAGTTATTATTTCGCACCCACTACACACTCCAGTGCCTTATAAGTTCGGATTCGGTTTAAACTAGGGATATTTAAAAATTTAGGGGGAATTCTTAGTCTTGTGTAGGGGTTCGGTAAAATAAGTTGGCAATGCTAAAGCCTTCCATTTTAATGCATAAGTCGAGGGTGTTAGTATGAAGTATTAAAAAAAATTCAGGATCGTAATAAGTGTATACAGCTGATAAAAATCATCGAAAAAATCGACTTATTAGGCAAGGGAAAGGAAAGTAGTGACTAGTTGATAATGAGGTTCTGACATAGACTTGTTGGGTTTACTATGACTTTGAATTTGGTATCAGAAGGTTTTTATATTAAGATGGTTAGTTTACGGACATGTTCACAATATTAATCCGCAACAATATAGAATATAGACATTCAAAAACGAATCAATCACAAGGCAATTGAGTAAGAAACACCAATTATGAGATTTCAATAAAACAACGTGCATTTATGTACAATTAATATACAATTTGAAAACTTGTAGTTTGATAATGCAAGAAATTGACCATTGATAAATTGGGTGTCTTATTGATTTACAGTTCAAAATTGTTCAAGTGTTTAAGAACTGGTCAAACAGAGTAAAATGGAAAATATTATTTATACAGAAAGTTGTGTAGTTTGTATGCGTGAATAAAGTAGGAGTTTGTATGCGTGAATAAAGTAGGGTTTCCGTTTAATTGTCTAAATTTTCCAGAGTTGTTTACCTTGGATTGTACTGTGTTTGTCTTTGTTTAAAATACAATTTCTATTTTAGTAGTGTGTCAGAACACTTTTCTTATAAAGTTGTAAGTGAGATGTGAGAGATTATGTTGATGTTCGAGTCAGCAGTTGACGCGCGAAAAGTATCTTAAGTCAAAGTAAAGTAGTGACACGCTTGGATATTTATGTGATTAGTTGTAGCAGAGATGTTATTGTGATTGCACGATTTTTTTTTTTAAATAGGAGACAGTGCAGCGTGTTTATACTATACGTGGTGCATCATATGACGTGAGGTATGCTTGGGATCTAAATTCAGTTCAGGAGAAACGATACACGTCTTGTCACTAAGGCATCCTGTGGTTGATATTAGAAAAAAAGAGAGGATTTTTGCCATTTCCTTTTATACAGCTTTATACAGCACCACCTAGCGGGCGATAACAGAAGTTTCCCGACAGACAATGTGAAGTAATCCTAAGAGGAAACAAAGAATAAAAACACGTTTTAACACATATCAGATTAATAATGCTCCTTTCCCCCTTTTGATGCTTATTACTCAGCATATACACGCATGTTAGTGAGTAAAAAAGGTTATAGTCAATTGCTGACCATTGAAACTAAAGTATCTTATAGTAATAAAATGTAACAAAGCCTTATTTATCTTATCTTATATTTATCGTATCTTATATTACAAGCATTTACTTATCATTTCACACCAGACAAGATGATAAAGCCACTAAGGCACAAGGCAGGGATTATTGAGAGAGAAAGAAACAGAGAGGGAAATAAATTAACAGGATTCAAGGAGACGGAAGATGGTATTTATCAATTCACCCACAGGAATTGAATGTGGCACAAGGCCTTTTTAATGTGGGTATGTCCGAGCCTGTAGGCCCAGCCAAAAATAAAACCCATCTAAACCCGTCCAAGCGGGCTAGTTTCGTCAACCTCCCCGAACGAAACCCCACCCTTCGGCGGAGCTTGTCTGGGTTCCTCTCTGCAAGCAGAGAGTTCGACAGACACCCGGCTCGGCAGCTCACAAAGCGCAGATACTACACTTTGATCCTAGCCACCGGGCCGAGCGGGTATTCTTTTTTTAGATACAAGGAGACGGAAGATGACAACTAACATTGAATTTAATTTTTTGAAGATCGTAGTTGATAGGAGAGCAAGAAGCCGGAAGAGAGTTCCACAAACGAGAAGTGCGGGAGAAGAAACTGCTAGTATAGAAGTTACCGTTACATCTAGCCATTTCAACAGTGGAATTATGAGACCGAGCTGCCAATCTAGTATTGCGTTTAAATTCGTGAAGTCGAGGTACAAAAGAAGAAATGTCATCAGAACAATTATCATGACAATATTTATAGAAAAGGCACAGGGTAGTTGCATTACGCCCGTGGGGAATTGACTGAAGCCGAAATATCAGGTCAAGAGTCAAGACCGATAACGTTGCAGATTCTTCTTTGGATATTGTTAAGAATTTCTAGATATACAGCGGAAGCACCAGACCAAATGTGGCAGCAATATTCGATGCGCAGACCAGTTGTAGACTTCTTTGTTGATTCACATACATTTCGACCTAACATTTTCTTGTTCTTGCAAAAAACAAAAGAAAAAAAGAAACTAAAGACTTATCATTTCCTTTAACTTATCATTAATTAATGAATAATGCTAATATACTATATCTAGATTTACTTTCGTATCTACTCACGCGCGTCTTTGAATGACTTTTGAATTTCCTGAGAATATTTGAACTGCAGAATAAATTTTACTACAGGAACTCTTACAAAAGGCGGTAAAAGAAAGGACTAAGCATCGATTGTAAGAAAACAGAATGTATGGTTGTCAGTGAAAGGAACAACTCAAGATGCGAACTACGAATTAGAGACACAAAAATCAAGTAAGTACAAAAATGCTAATATCCAGGAAGTGTTTTATTAGAGGACGGAAAATGTGACACCGAAATCCGAAGATGCGGTGAAATAACGAAAGTTTTCTTCCAAAAGTTAAGCAAAGTATTGAGAAACAGGAAACAAAGATATTTTTAGATTGTAAGAATTTTGGGAGATAATAATTGTTTAGTGATACAAATCTTACTAATTAACCCATAGGAAGGAGGAGAAGAAGTAGATTCATATTTTTCCTAAGAGTATTTACGCGTAATTCACTTACGCACAAATTCTTTTGGGAAACATATGAATCCACCTATTCTCACCCAGCTATGAGTTAATTATAACGAACCCAAAGGGAATTGAAACTCGGATCTCCGATTAATAATTCTGAACCATTATCCATTACACCACCCACACATCCAAGCTTACAGCACCTGGTACTGTCAAACGGTCACCCATCTAGGTACAAATAAGCGGGAACTCCTACAGAAGGTAGTAAAGGAAAGCGAGAAGAAAGGACTAAGCATCAATTTGAAGAAGACAGAATGTATAGTTGTCGGCAAGAGGAAAAGACCAAGATGCGAACTACGAATTGGAGACACCAAAATCAAGCCAGTACAAAAATTTAAATATCTAGGAAGTGTTTTAACAGAGGAAGGAAAATGTGACACCGAAATCCGAAGGTGTATTGCGATAGCGAAAAGATGCCTTCCAAAAGATAAGCAAAGTATTAAGAAACGGAAAAATTTGAATACAGCGAATACTTGGAAATCTCCTCACAGATGAAGAAGAGACTTGAGGAATGAGAAATGTGGTTTGACAGAAAGACGCTGAGAATCCCACGGACCGAACTTGTGAGTAACGCGGAAGTTTTAAGGAAAGTAGAAACAAAAAGGACACTTATACTTCACATCAGAAAGAGACATGAATTTTCTTGGGTGCATAACGAAGAAAGAGAACCTGGAGAAATTGACACTCTCACGGTATATTAAAGGAAAAAGAGACAGAGATAAGCAGCGAATAGCCTGCCTAACGAGTTTGTGTTTACTGTTGGCAGAACAGGGGTTAGAAAGGATAGGAAAAAGAAAAACATTGCTAAGGAAGTTGTGGAGAGTCATGATCGCCCACGTCCTGAAGGGATACGGCACAGAAAAAGAAGAAGATT